ACCTGTCGACTTGAAACCATCTCCAGTGTGAGTGTAGGTAAACGAGGTCTTCTTTGTTATCAACCCCAAGATGCACTCCTGAAGATCGTCAACGCTCTTGCACGTGTCAGTACCACCAATCACGTCGGCCGTAGGCTCATAAGCCAGAGCACCGGCAGCCAAGAGAGTAACAAACAACTTCATAAATAATATACAAAGATACTTTTCTTATTTAAATAAAATCTAATGGATCGAGAACGCCCCGTCTATCGACTCCAAATGTGGTTCGTCGCTCGAGGGTCGCGGTGCCGCTTTTTGAGCCGTCGTGCTTGGGCTGCCATGGTAAGGCCGTTACCATTCACGCAGCTCCTCTGGCAAAAGTGGTCTCCGTGATCCGCATGGGAAGCGACCACCGTGCCGGGGCCCTCGTCTGCCCCGCCGCTACACCGTGTCTGCTACATGCACCCCCGCAGGCTCCGCAGCCTCCAGCGGCCAGCCCGTAAGCAACCTCTCCTCCTCGAGAGCCGCGCGGCGCCGCAGTGGTCGTCGCGCTATGTCAATCTCGTTGCGCCATCTTTCATTCCTACTTCGCGACCAGTTGTATTTGGGGATAATGTCCATAATAAAGACCTACGTACTCATCTTTCCACCCAACTGGTCCAATGACGCTAGGCACTCTGGAGGTGCTTCACACACTCTTGAGGTGCCCACGCACAGGTGTCCCCTTAGAACCCTACATAACCGGCAGGCCGAATTGGATACATGCTGGCTACCCATTACCGAAACGTTGCTGGTAACTCCGCCCATTCTGCTGTAGACACCCGCTTTCTGCCTTCCTCCTGCTCCCCTAGTATTATTCTCATTTACCTTTCAACAAGTTCACACAAAAAAAGGATAGTCAAACCAGTTGTCAACTTAACCTTCCTAGTTATCAACTGCAATTCTGACCATCTTCGGCTGATCATGAATTCTTAACTCAATACCATGTTTGCCCTCACAGCCATTTTTGCATCCGCATTGGTCCTTCTCCCCGCACGACTCCGTGCTAGTTCGGCAAGGATCAGTGGGGCTAGAGCACTCGGATGCAGGAATGGTCAGAGTTGGGTCTACAGGGCGAACGTGCCTTGAGGGAGATGAAGTCGTCTGAGTTTCGCTCGTAGTTTCACCAATGGTGATAAGACCATTGTCCTTCGTGTTCGCAGTCACAGGAAACGTAACCAGGTTATCATCCTTAGCCCCATCAGTCTTTGGCAAGGTTACAAGCGGTTTCTCCTTAGTCTGAGTACTCTCAGGGATTTGGGTATTGTCCGTCGGCTCAGTAGTCTTGGGGATGGTGATTCGGGTGTTATCCTTCGGCTCTGTAGTCTTGGGGATGGTGATTCGGGTGTTATCCTTAGCCTGGGTAGTCTTCGGGAAAGTGATTCGGGTGTTATCCTTCG